CTAAGTGTTTACAGCAGTGCCTGGTACTTACCAAGTGCTCAGTAAAGGTTGCAGTTGATATTAGCGGTAGCAGCAATCGCGTATAAGCCACACAGTTCAACAGAAGATTGAAAGCAGGGGCTGATACTCTGTGGGTTTTCAGTCAAATCAGAATCTTGATGTCACTTCTGTGATGTTGCACTCTTTTCTTTCCTTCTGAACTGCATTCCCCCAGCCCCACACAAACAGCCCCTTTGCTTATCAAAAACCCATCCTTCAAAATCCCGTTAGGTTTACACTTCTCCACAAAGCTTTTCCTAAGCCCCTAGCTGGAAGCACTTTCAGTCGTGATCATGCCTTGCAGGAAAGATGCCACCACCTTCCTGTAATTTATTTCCTTGCCAATTAGTTGATCTTTGACTAAGTGTGCCCCTTCTGGGAAGTTCAACTGCTGTCACTGTTTTATCCAGGAAAGCCTGATGCCTTGTGTAGGGTTTTACCACTTGAGGTTGCTACTCAGATAGATGCAGATAAAAACATAAATTACATCTCTAACTGAAACTGAAGCATGCCTCCTGTTCCCCATGATTGAGCTAAGCTGCTAAACCTAAATCATCACAGCGATAATCAGCTCTTTCACTCCCAAAGCTGAAGAAAGGAAAAGCCAGCAATTTCTTATATGTGATATATGTCCACCCTCTCACCTGGTGTTTTATAAACTTATTGTCTTAACTGTCTTCTAAGTATCTATGCCTGGGAGGGTGCCTTCCTCTGTTTCGCAAAATGCCAAGTGATACCACTGTGATATAGAAATAATGATCATTAGAAGACAGCCTCAAATTATTTGACATTCAGATTGAAGGGGAAAAGTAGTACTTTTTTGTAATAACCTAGAATTTGGATCATAAATGGCATTCAAAATAAAAGCATATTGGTTTCTGTCAGAAAGGGATAGTTCAAACCTTCTCACATCTGAAGTCAAATATCACAAAATGGAATCATGGGTTGAGCACACAGCCTCAGATCTGCACCCAGGCCATAAAGAGCCATAACCTGTGGCCGTGATACATTTGAAAATATCAGTACTAATAGGAGCTAAATAAGAGAGAAGTCATATTTTACCTGAAACTCCAAAAAAGTATTTAATAATCATTAACTTGTTATCACTTCCCAACCACTGGCCTCTTTATTTTTTAAAATGTCCAAATACCAGGGTTTCTAGAATTCGGCTCATCTTGACCCTGCCTGCCTTAAATTTTCAAGGAATTCTTCCTTTGTCACAGTTCCTGGTGGTGAATGTGAGACCATTTGTTTGCTTGGTGGAAGGAATGTAAGACCAAGAATCAGACATGGTATGATTTCCAGCCCCGCCAACTTTTTTTTTTTTTTTTTTTTTGGGACAGAGTCTCGCTTTGTCACCCAGGCTGGAGTGCAGTGGTGCCATCCTGGCTCACTGCAACCTCCGCCTTCCGGGTTCAAGCGATTCTCCTGCTTCCGCCTCCCAAGTAGGTGGGATTACAGGTGTCCACCACCACACCTGGCTAATTTTTTGTATTTTTAGTAGAGACAGGGTTTCTCCATGTTGGCCAGGCTGGTCTCAAACTCCTGACCTCAGGTGATCTGCCCACCTCGGCCTCACAAAGTGCTGGGATTACAGGCATGAGCCACCGTGCCCAGGTTGTTTTGTTTTGTTTTTTTTTCTTTTTCTTGGGTGGGGGGAGGGCAGAGTTTTGGTTTTGTCACTGTCATCCAGTCTGGAGTACAGTGGCGTGATCTCAGCTCACTGCAACCTCCGCCTCCTGGGTTCCAGCGATTCTCCTGTCTCAGCCTCCCAAGTAGCTGGGATTACAGGCATAGTCCTCCATGCCTGGCTAATTTTTGTATTTTTAGTAGAGACAGGGTTTCACCATGTTGGCCAGGGTGGTCTCGAACTCCTGACCTCAGGTGATCCACCCACCTCGACCTCCCAAAGTGCTGGGATTACAGGTGTGAGCCATTGTGCCCAGCCTTGCCACTTTTAATAGCTGTATGGCCTTGGGCAACTATTTAACCTCCAAATATGTTTCCTCCTCTGTAAAATAGGAGTGATTACATCACAGAGAATTGCTCTGAAAATACTTACAATTATACTCATTTGTTTCCTGGAATATGTACCATGGGCCAGTCATTGTTAAATAACTTATATATCTTCACAGTAGCCCTATGAGTTAGGTGCTAGGAAACCAAGGCACAGAAAGGCTAAGTAACTTGCTTAGAACCATACAGCAAGTAAGCAGTCTGCAAAAGCAAGAGATAATTAAGGGCTTCCTCAGATCCAGAGTGTGTCAAAGGTGTCAGGTGAGCAGGGACACCTGGGGGCAGGTGCTGCTGAGCTGGCCTGCCCGCCCTCCATGTCTTCCCTGTCCCCCTCCTCTGTGTCAGGGCCCTTGCCCTCCTGGGACGTGCCTGCTTTGTGCTTCACCCACCCTGCCTTTGATTATCCTGTTCTCACGCTTGGTATTCTTCCCATCATCTCTCTGTTTATTAAAATTATACCAATTTTTCAAGCCCTAGCTAAAATATCCTCTACAAAGCCTTTCCTTATCCTTCTTGGATAAGGAAAATGACTGGAAGAAGGGCATTTCTTCCTATTTTGTGTAGAGTTTGCCACCTCCTGCCTTTCACTGTATTACTACTGGTCACCATCTTCATCAGTGCTGTAACCCATACCTTTCTGTAGGTCTTGACATACACAAAATGCTTTCATACAGGTTGTGCTATTTGCTCTTGTGCAGAAGCTTATAAAATAAGCAGGAAAGGAACTTTAGTCCCATTTCTACAGATCACTATTTCTTGAACACCTACTATGCACCAGGACTTTGTGCTAGGTGCTAAAGTTAGAAATGGTAATGTCTCCAGAACCTTGATTATCCCACTTTTACTTTTTTTTTTTTTTTTTTTTTTAAATCTGAGGTGGAGTTTCACTTTGTCACCCATCCTGGAGTGCAGTGGCGTAATTTTGTCTCACTGCAGCCTCTGCCTTCTGGGTTCAAGCTATTCTCCTGACTCAGCCTCCCAAATAACTGAGATTACAGGCACACACTACCACTCCTGGTTATTATTATTATTTTTTTTAATCAGAGATGGGGTTTCACCATGTTGTCCAGGCTGATCTTGAACTCCTGACCTCAAGTGATCTGCCTGCCTCGACCTCCCAAAGTGCTGGGATTATAGGCATGAGCCACCGCATCCAGCCTATCCCACTTTTACAAACACAGAAATTGAAACCTAGGCCAGGTGCAGTGGCTCACACCTGTAATCCCAGCACTTGAAGAGCCTGAGGTGGGTGGATCACTTGAGGCCAGGAGTTCAAGACCAGCCTGAACAACATGGTGAAACCCCATCTCCACTAAAATTACAAAAATCCGCCAGGCATGGTGGCACACGCCTGTAATCCCAGTTACTCAGGAGGCTGAGGCATGAGAACTGCTTGAACCTGGGCGACAGAGGCTGCAGTGAGCCGAGATCACACCACTGCACTCCAGCCTGGGTGACAAAGTGAGACTCTGTCTCCAAAAAAAAAAAGAAACCTAATAAAAGTGGCCAGCTGTCCCACTGAACATCTGTTTTAGTCCCTGGGGCTTGCCAGGCTCTTTGCCACCTCTGGGCCTTTGCAGATGCTATTCCCTCCACCTGCAACATAATTCTTTCCTCTCCAACCTGACCAAGCTCTACTCATCTTTCAGAGTTTAATAAAGGTGTTGCTTTTTTCAGAGAGTCTTCCACTGATCACCCCCTGCTGCCAAGTCTAAAATAGGCCTGCTAGTCTCTTATGGCACTCTTTTGCTTTTCTTAGCAACACTTAACACAAATAGTAATTTTTATTTTACTTTTATAGATGTATTTGATGTCCCTCCATCAGACTGTATACTCCATGAGGACAAGGATGTTGATGTTTATGTTAACTCTTACACACTCAGTGCCTGGCACCATGCCTGACCCAGAAGAGGGACTCGAGAAATAAAGTGTCAAATGAACGAATGTGCAGACATCAGCCATTTACTCAGCTTAGTAAATGCCAGAGGAAAGGCTAGAACCCAGATTTTCTGAAGCCCAGTCAACACGGACCTCCCCGTGTTCTCTGACACCGCCCATGACCAGCCTCCGCTTGCTAAGTTGCACAGTTACAGGGACTAAGAACCTCAGTCTTTGTTCTTTTTATGGGTTCCTAAGACATCAGCACTGTTTGGTATGTGCGTATTGAGGATCTGAAGGGTGGATATGTGTGTGGATGGGTGGACAGAAGGAATGAGAGACAGACAGACAAGCAGAATGCCAGGATAATCCACAAAGGGGCAGGAGATGGTCAATGTATGGAAGCACAAGGGGGCACATCGGTCATGTGGTAAGCACCTGCACTGCGGCAGGCCCTGTGTTGGAAGGAAGTGGCAGTGTGAACATCAGCCTAGATATAGAACCTCCACTTCCACCCTGATTAAGATCTAAAATTAATACCCTATTCTAGAGTTCTTGGAATAAACCTTCCATTTTGATAGGTCTTAAAGAATTTTCATTTTTATACTTCTGTCACATTATATTGGAACACTTTCATTATACATGAAAGCAGCTTTTATTTCTTCTTACTCCAGGCAGCCTGTTACTATAGCAATGTTGGAAGTATTTTGAGGTATTTTTATACAGTGAGTTCTACAAACTCTCTGCAAACTGTACATAATGTTTGGTTGAAATGGGCTATCATATCCAAAATTGTCTCTCTTTTTTCTTTGCATCCTTTGTTAAACTTTTGCAAACTTTGCTATAACTTAATTCCTGAAAATTAAAGCTCTTATGTTTAGAAAAAAAAATTTGAGGCAGGGGGGTTGTAAATATATTTGCCTATGAACATGGAAAATAGCTCCGAAATAATCTGAACTTTATTTAGGTACCATAAAGATATTATTGCTTCTTGGGGCCTTCTGGGTGTTTTTTTTTTTAGCCCAGAAAATGAGGTGCAATCATAGATTTCCTCTGTGTGTCTGCAGGGTCTAGACAATTTCAAAGTGAAACAGAAGTTCTTCGCTGGCAGCCAGGAGCCAATGGCCACCTTTCCTGTGCCATATGATTTGCCTCCAGAACTGTATGGAAGTAAAGGTGAGACACAGATAAAGGAAAACCATGGGTGGATATGCATAAGAAAAACAAACAGGGCCCAGGAGAAGCCTTTGGTCTCAGTGAGATCCTGGCTCATGGAACCCTCTGGAAGCTCAGGTTTGCAGAGAGACCTGTGCCAACCTGTCTGGGGCTGTGTAGCCACTAGTTAGTCTTAGAATCCCTTTGTACTCCTGTAATTACTATACAGATCCTTCCTGACTTACAGTGGGGCTACATGCTGATAAACCCCTCATAAATTGAAAATCTCATAAGTCAAAAATGCATTTAATGCACCAAACCTACTGAGCATCATAGCTTAGTCTAGCCTACCTTAAACATGCTCAGACCACTTACATTAGTCTACATTTGGGCAAAATAATACAAAGACTCTTTTATAATAAATTGTTGACTATCTCATGGAATTTATTGAAGACTGTACCAAAGTACTGTTTCTACTGAATGCATATCACTTTCACACCATCATAAAGGTCAAAAGGTCATTAAGCCTAACTATCAGAAATTAAAACCAAGAAATGTAACAATAATAAACCTATTGTAATATACATTTATGCCAGGCCTGGTGGCCCACACCTGTAATCCCAGCATCTTTGGAGGCCGAGGCAGGAATATTACTTGAGGCCAGGAGCTCGAGGCCACCCTGCCCAACATAGTGAGACCCAGTATGTAAAAAAAAAAAAAAAATTGTTTTAAATAGCCAGATGTGGTGGATCATGCCTGTAGTCCCAGCTACTTGGATGGCTAAGGTTGAAGAATCGCTTGAGCCCAGGAGTTTGAGGCTGCAGTGAGCTATGATTGAGCCACTGCACTCCAGCCTGAGTGACAAGGCAAGACCTCAACTCTAAGGAAAAAAAAAAGTTCTTATAACAATTTCCAAAAAGAAGAAAATAGCAAGGAAAGTGGTATTTTATGTTTTTGCAAGCCTCTTTATGTGCATCTTAAAAGGTGACACCTGAGTTCTCATTGCTGTGCTCTCTTTGAGGCTGTTGTGATATCACATCATATAACCTCTGTATACCTGTGTAAAAATGAAAGTGAAAACAACAAATGATGGCTTAATACTACAATGAAAATAATGTTGACTTCACAGACCCTCCCAACCAGCACGCTCACAAACCCTCAAAAGGGAGGTCCCCAGGGGCCACACTTTGAAAACTGCATCATTGAATCTTAAGGGCAGTCACCAAGTATCTTTCACAGTAGAAACACAATAGGAATAGCTACAGAAGGTTCAGATGTCCTCAGAGGAAGGCGGGCTGGCATCAGTGTACCCACTTATGTCCGGCCTGCATGTATCCCAGCCTCACAGGCTGCTCTGCTGCTTTTATCAGCCCTGAGAATATCTGTCTTTAAGGTGGGTCCACACTTAGCAAACTCAGACAGGATGAGATATATAATCAAGACACACTTAATTTAAAATGGCAAATTACATCACCAAATCAGCATATTCTCCACTGGAAAGGAGAGGCCTACATGAGTAACCAAATTATAATCTGCAGGTTTCTGAGCCAGTGTTAAATCTGAACAGAGAAAAGATTTTTTTTCAATTGGCAAATTTTAATGACATCACTCATTGATACCCCAAAATCTCCAGTTCTTACCAAGCTTGGCCTTGCCCAGTAGGTTCCTCTGTTCCCTCGACAGTGTTTCACGGGATTTCACGGGATCTCACAACTTCCCCACCCACTAACCATTCTCATCTTTCATGGTGAACCAAGCCTCCTCTGTCAGATGGGCCCTTTCTTAGATTGTGTTGACACATCTAACAAAGTTAATCCTATCTCATGCTGTCCAGTGTGCCCTCCTGCCTCTTGCTGGTAACTTTGTATTTCTCTAATCAATAGTTTGAGACTAAGTTTCAGGAGGCATTCTTTTTCTTCTTTCTAAAGTGTGGAAATTCCCTATAGCCTTTCTGTTGAGTCCTCCTAATTTGTTGTGTATTCATGCATATTTCATTTTCCGTAGCAAGACTATCAGGATTCTTATCAGAATTTAAAGCAGTCTGTCAGCACCTTACCTGCCACCAAAAAAAAAAAAAAAAAACCAGGAAAAGCCTGCTTTAAAGTCAGGCCATGTTTATGTGCCAACTCCACAACTTGCTAAATGGACTTGGACATTTAGTTACTTTCCCTAGGTTTTAGTGTCTCTGTCTACACAATAAGGAACTGTGAGTACCTACCTTATAATAGGGTTATTGAAAAAGATTAACTGAGATTATCTATAAAGTACTTATCTCAGAGCTAGCAGTCAATGAACATTAGCTGCTTTTATTGTAATTGTTATTAAAATGCAAAGTTCAGTTCCTGGCAACAGTAGATGTTGAATTAGTGCGAATTCCCTCCCCTTTTCTGTGGTGAGCTGGTGATTTTTAAATGTCTAAAGCTTGTGCAAGTCTGTCCCTAAACCTGTCTACCTCTTCTTCCCTCTTTTGGCTTCGTGCTACTTTTGTCTTTGTCTCCCCTTATCTGTTCTTCAGGTTCCTTTTCTTCCTTTTCTTTTTTTTTTTTTTTAAACCCAAGTTCTCCTCCTCCCTGTTGGAAGTGGGGACTGACTGATTAGGCTTTATCTGCTGGGGTCTGGCCTTGGGCCCTCCACATCCCACCTCCAACCCTGCACCCTGACTGGATTCCACCGCCTTCATTTCTTTAGTCCTAATCTTCAAAGGACTAAGAAGGCAAAAATGGAAGCGCTAGAAGAGCCTAACTAGCCGGGCGAGGTGGCGGGCGCCTGTAGTCCCAGCTACTCGGGAGGCTGAGGCAGGAGAATGGCGTAAACCCGGGAGGCGGAGCTTGCAGTGAGCTGAGATCCGGCCACTGCACTCCAGCCTGGGCGACAGAGCGAGACTCCGTCTCAAAAAAAAAAAAAATGTTCCAAGGTCCCTTTCCTTCCAGTAAAGTAAGCATTCCCAGGAACTTAGAAGTTTACAACTAGGTATAGTGTCTTAGACCATGGAATGATACATCTTTTATTTGGCCAGCAAGCAGAATGCTTTCCAGTGTTTAAATGAGTTTTGTTTGTTTCTTCAGCATTTCTTTTGAAAGATACATATAATCTCAGGGTATGCTTAAGCTAAAATAATAATTTTTTTAAAAAAGTAAAGATACATACAAGAGAGACTGGAGCATTTTATTTAATATTGGTACTGTTTTGTCTTCTGCACTGCCTCAGTTGCATGTAGGACAATATTAGTAATTCAGTATCACCAGTTCATATATAGCCAACATTCCTGGGGAGCCGTATGGACTATAGAAAGACATTTACCAAGATTGAAAAAGTGAGTGGTTAAGAACATTTGAAAAGCACTTCATTTTAAAAAGTGATCTTCAAGCCATTGTAACACCTCCAAGATCTTGTCAGTGGGTTTTTTTAAAGACAGAAGACTGTACAGAAAGCTTAGCAAAGGAATATACTGCTGTGAATGAAGTAAAGCTCAATGCAAGAGGCTACCAGGTATCTTGAAACCAAGAAAATGATCAAAGGAAAGCAACAACAAAGACTCAGCTACCAGTATACCTTGCTTGGTGCAGTAGTTGCTGTTTATTCATTCTCTCCACAGATCTCTATTGAGAACCTACTGTGTGCAGACACCATCTAGGTACTTGGAATATGTTGGCAAACAAGACAGGCACAAATCCTTACTCTCATCAAACTTACATTCCTCTTCTCCTGAAAAATCATACTTAACCAAACCCATTTTACTAATAGTCATTTTAAAAGAAGCCTCTTTTTTTTTTTTTTAAAGATAGTGTCTCGCTCTGTCACCTAGGCTGGAGTGCAGTAGCATGGTCTCAGCTCACTACACCCTCACACTGCTGGGCTCGAGTGATACTCCCACTTCAGCCTCCTGAGTAGCTGGCATTACAGTGCACACCATCATGCCCAGCTAATTTTTTAAAAATGTTTTGTAGAGATGGGGTCTCACTATGTTGCCCAGGCTGGTGTTGAACTCCTAGGCTCAAGTAGTCCTCCTGCCTCAGCCTCCCAGAGTGTTAAGATTACAAGTGAGAGCCACCACACCTGGCCCAAAGAAGGCTTTTATAAAGCAAAATCACCACCTTTTAAAATCTAACACAAATTATTTCCATATGTCCCACTTGCTGTGTGACCTTGATTTTGAAAAGGAAGCAAAATAGATCAGTGTGTAATCTTAACCTTTCTTCCAAGGGCATCTGCTTTGCACTCCCTTCTTAGCTTATATTCACTTTGTTATATGCTATTGAGACAGTAAAGGGTGAGAAAGTAATGAGCTAAGGGTGAAATAAAGCCTAAATAAATTGTATGACTCCTTTAAGAAGTAATTGAACATGCAAAGCTTCAGAGGTATTAGTTATAGTCTATTAAGGAGGTTGTTTCGTTTTCATTATTTTTAAAAAATATACATATGAGTTCTTATATAGTATTTTTTCTTTCAAATTTTTGGCATAATTCCAAATTTACAGAACAGTTACAAGAAGAGTACAAAGAATTCCCATATACTCTTTACCCAAGTTCCCCAAATGTCAATATTTTATCACATTTACATCCTCTCTCATATTAACTTTTCTGATCTATTTGAGAGTAGCAAACGGATGTCATTTTATCCCTAAATACTTTCATTGTATATTTCCTAAAAGAAAGGCATTATCTTACATAACTATAGTACAGTGATCAATATCAGCAGTTAACATTGATTCAAAACTATTCACATTTCGTCAGTTTCCTCAATAATATCCTTTATAGCAAAAGAGAAAGTTATTGAGTTATGTCTCTTTAGTCTCCATTAATTTGGAACAGTTCCACAATTTTTTGTTTCATGACATCAACACATTGCATAGCATGGACCAGTTATTTTATAAACTCTGAGGAACATTCTACTTTGGGTTTTCCACTCACCGTTTCTTTATAATTAGACCTAGGTTATGCACTTTTACCAAGAATACCAAAGAAGTAATGTGTTCTTTCTGGTGCATCATATCAGGAGACACATCCTATTGATCTGTCTAATTACTGGTGATGTTAACTTTGATTGATTGGTTAAATTGGTGTTTACCAGGGTGTACATAATTGTTAACAAGTATAATTTCAAAACTTTAAAAATTTAAGTGACTGAAACTAAATTAATAAACTGTAAATGTAGTTGTTTAATAGAAGAGGTCCTTTTTTTTTTTTTTTTTTTTGAGACGGAGTCTCGCTTTGTCGCCCAGGCTGGAGTGCAGTGGCACCATCTCGGCTCACTGCAAGCTCCGCCTCCTGGGTTCACACCATTCTCCTGCCTCAGCCTCCGAGTAGCTGGGACTACAGGCATGCACCACCACGCCCGGCTTTTTGTATTTTTTTTTTTTAGAGAGACAGGGTTTTACCGTGTTAGCCAGGATGGTCTCCATCTCCTGACCTCGTGATCTGCCCGCCTCGGCCTCCCAA